GTCTCTGGGGTGCCTCATCTGGATGGATGACAGACAGACAGACAGAGAGACAGACAGACAGACAGGGAAGCAGACGATGTAAAAATACAAAAAGAACTTTCCCAAGGGCCACTTTTCTCCCTAAAAAAAAAGCATCTGATGATGATGATAAAATGTTTATATCGGTCACTAATTGCTGTGCTGAAATGATTTTCTCCACCGGAGGTGGTGGTGGTGGGGGGGGGGGGGTATCCAAAACATGAATCCATGAATCTCTGCATCCATCCATTCCCTACAGCGCTTCTCCTAACTGGGGACGTCAGTGGGTTGGTCACAGCTGACTTTGTGTAAGAGGTGGGGGCACGTCCTGGACTGATCATGAGCCAATCACAAGCCACCAAGCGAAATATTTCAAATCAAAGCAGTTCACAGTACCGGTCCTCAAATGAGCTCTTACGCTGTGTCCTCTTCACTCTCTTCAAAAAGAGGTCATTAACTCTGACAGTCCCCCATGAAGGAAAAAAAAACAGAAATTCCAGCATAGATTCCCTCTTGGGTCAAGAGCTGTGAAGTGCGTCCCAATGAACTGCTGTTTTCACATAGTGTTTTACATTTCCGCCCTCCGCCCCGCTGCCTTGAGGAGACCTATGATTAGGACGTCAGATCCAATTACACTGACAATTTCCATGTGAGGCACAGCCCCTTCCTAATACACCACAGCGACTTTTATGGACACTTTATGTTCAAAATAGCATGTGAGTGAGACACCGATTGCTTCGTTTCAGTCAGAGACAGTCAAAACCCAATCGAATAATCAGTAATGCTAGAAAGAAACATGTAAAACTTTTTTTAATTTTTTTTTTGTGGTACCACTTCATCTATTGTGATTTTGCCCGCGATTCCTCTTAGATTTTCCTCTGTTTAACATTTCCACATTGACCTGCTTTCAACCATGGTGAGCTGAAAGACCCAGACTCAGCAGGGAGTGACAGGATCGTGACCTTGGCACCACATCCAGCTGAGGTAAGGTGGGCTCGGGGTAGAGATGGAGACAGGTGAGCCCGTTTTTGCATGGGAGGAAGGGACACCGCCGAATGAAGTGGAAGAGGTGAAAGTAGAGCTAAAGAGAAAAGAAATGCGAAATGAGATGGAGGGTGGGCGGAGAGAGAGGAAGAGAGGAAGAGAGAGAGAGAGAGAGAGAGAGAGAGAGAGAGAGACTTCTTTATATAAAGTGTCCAGATGTGACCTCCGCAGAGGGGGTCCGGCCTCATGGCTCAACACTCATTAATAAGGTCGCACAGAGGTGAGACAGGCGGCTGACTCACTGCATTTCAACACAACAATAATAGGAAGAGGAGGAAGTCAACATCAACAAGCGGGCGCCGACTTTTTCAAGAGGTTGCCCTTTTAGGCTGCTTTACGTGCTGTTGTGATGCGTTCATCATACTTGACCCTTGGGACATTTTCGGGTCATCGACGAGACGCATCTGACAGACGTGGCGGATAAAATCAAAGGAACTGGTCATACGCTATCACGGAAGGTGTTCAGACAGAGGAATACGAAGAACAGCTCAATCGTCGGGAAGCACTTCGAGCATGTTCTGAGGTTCAGGATTCCGTTCCCCCAAAAAGATGCATGTGAGGTCAACTGGAGCCCGAGTTGCCCACGAGTGCGAATGTCACGGTCAACTGTTCTTTGTGTATATGTGTTATGCAATAAAGGCCGATTAGAGGACAAATCCAGTGCAATTCTTTTTTTTTTCGCCCTCAGTCAGGTGGGGTAGGCGCAGCTCCCTCGTGACCTTCAACAGGATAAGCAGTATAGACAAAGGATGGATGGATTTTCAAGCGCATGTATACATAATATGCCCACGTGTAAGTCTGTATTTCATTACATTTTATTCGCTCAGAAAAATGAACCATGGAATCGTATTTGTATTTGAATCATACAGTTGCGCACATCTGAAAAAAGCCGTGCGCAACTATTTTCCCATTTTATACAACACTGAAAGATTCCAAATGTTTGTTCCCAGCAGAACTGCGATTCGAAGGTGAAACCGCCAAGTTGACAAAGTTGGTGGCAGTTAGAGGAGTGGGTTGCACCTGTTCTCTAGCTGGCTCACATATAGGGTGCTCAAATAGGAGGCAAAACCACATGCACGCGGGAATATCAACTGCATCCACGAGTCAAAGAGCAAAAATGCACACGACTGAGAGTCGCATATGCGCGCACACACACACACACACACACACACACACACACACACACACACACACACACACACACACACACCACAGAAGAGCTAAACCACCGAATTGGTGCACACATACATGCAAAATGCCCGGCTCCATCAGGACCTTCTCCTGTCAAACGTATGTCATAAATGAATAAACCAAAGCCGCCAAATTCCCACTTGCACACAAACTGCGCAAAAATGACCAATGTATCTGCTGTCACAAATTCATCGACAGACTCAAAAAAAAAAAAAAATCGAAAAAAAATATCCTTTCACAATGCTTCATCACAAAACACGTGTAGTTGTATGAGTTGCTCCATTTCAAAAATCATCGTTTTTAGTGATCCACACTTGGGGTTTCTGTGCGTGTGTGCGTGTGTGTGTGTGTGTGTGTGTGTGTGTGTGTGTGTGTGTGTGTGTGTGGTGTGTAAAGCAGCAGATTAATCTAGTAGGGTCGCTGAGATGACACTAATCCCTTCGCTGATTATCTAGAGCATAACATCACTCTAATCTGATGGGGGGTTAAGAAAGATAGACAAGGTTGGAGTGGGTAAAGCAAAGAAAGAACAAGAGGGAGCGGCCGCATTCACGCTCACCACACATCCAGGTTGGGGTGATGAAATTCGGCGGCGTTTGTCTCTTCTATCAGAAATATTAATTTGGGGCTCCAGAGTAGCAAGCGCAGCACTCAACAAGCCGGCCTTAATCTCGTAACATTGCAACAATCGTCGTCGGCGTGCGTTCGGTCTTCTCGAGTTGTCAATAAAAATAAAGCCTGTTGCTGTTTGTTTTAGAAAGTCACCATGAGAGGAGGATCAAATCACTGGTTATGATGCAGCCGTCACTCAACATTTGGGTTCCGTTTTAAGTTTTGGCCTGGTTGTATAGGGTGGACTTTGTGGACTTTCACTTTCTTACCATCTTAATTATTCGCATGTAGACTTTGAAGTACGGTGGTAACTTGATTTTCCAGTGCCCCATTTTCAAGATTTCTTTGAGTTACAAACCATCGCTTGGCTGTTCCCACATTTGGGGAAAATAGCGAAGGCCGAATTGCTTTTATTTTGCGATAAAATGTCCTCACCGATCGGACCGAAGCTCGGAGGTCTGGTTATTGACAGTGAGACGATGTAGTTGGCTTTGGCGTGGCCGCCACGTTCGAGAGTGACAGAAAAGGCGACGGCCTCTCAAGACAATCTGATATTACAATGAAGTTATTCGGTTGAACCCGAGAACGGTCACAAGTGGAAAGTGAGGAGGATGTTTTCTATGCAATGTTGGAACAGAGTGTGTGTGTGTGTGTGTGTGTGTGTGTGTGTGTGTGTGTGTGTGTGTGTGTGTGTGTGTGTGTGTGTGTGTGTTTTCTATATCTGTGGCTGTCTCTGTCTCTTAGTGTTATCATTATCAAAGTAAATTGAGGTTCCCGTGTGCGAGATGAAGAATACAATATTTCCATTTCTGACTCGTGCTCCCCCTCGCCGCAGCGACATCGTATAATCACAACACTGTCAAAACACATCGCACACACAATGGATCATTTCGGTCAACCTACAAGTTGATATTCCTTGGCTGTCTATGCATTGTTCGCCGTGTATTCGTGGCTTCCCAAAATATTCCAAGAATGATCTCTTTTCATCCTTTGTTTTGTTTTGGGTTTTTTTTCTTTTGTTTTGGTCACGAAAATGAACAAATGAGGAAGTGCGAGAAGTGGATTAGAAAATGGATGGATGGATATATAAATGTCCATAACTTTATGTACACCTGCAATTAGTAAGCGGCAATATTATAGGCGTTTTAACAACCGTGCCGCTCAAGGATAAGCGCTCAATTTTTTTGATCGACATCATCAAAAGTATTGACAGTAGCTTTTGGCTAATTGTGTGCCGATAAGGCAACCGCTATCAGAAGAAGCAGCTCTCGGTATGATCGAGTGCAGTTGTACGTGACGCTCCACTTCGGCAGCGACAACAAACACGTTGCTACGCATGAACATCTCTTGGACAAAACTGACTCCAACCACATTTTTAAAGGCAGGATTTACGATACAGCTGAAGTGTGGAATCTCGCTGCACTGTACAAACGAAGCTAACGTTGCAGCCAGTGAGGGTAAAGTTACATTTGGTTCCTCTCAATGCTGCTGTTACCCCACCGCGTGGTCTTGGACTCCTCTTAATATGACGATGACAGTTTCAAACAGGCACACAAACACCCGTTGAGCATTTTTTTTGAACGTGAACATTTTCAGTAGCGGACCACAAACCACGACCGCAAAAAAGCACAAAAGAGCAATGGCAGAAATGGAAAGGCTGAGGTCTGACATCTTCCATATTTTATGAATGCAGTCAAAGGTAATTAAGCTCGACGTGTGTGAGGGAGAGAAGAGAGAGATCGACGAGGAGAAAGAGAAGGCGGGAACGAGAGGCAGATTATCTGTGTCAGTGGCCATTTGCTCACAACTGGCGCCACATCGGGGAGAGGGCCAGAGGCATGGTGCATCATGGGTAAATGAGCACAAACTACACGGCGTCCGCCATACAGTGAGAGAGCGAAAGTCGACTCCTCCGTTTTACACGAATCGTTTGCTCTCCGCCCGCACTCACGATAATTACAGTTGACTGATCGAAAGCAGGAAAAGAAGAGCGATTTCAAATGACAATCCCCAGTCAGTTGGCCACGTACAATCGTTTGCTCTCCGCCCGCACTCACGATAATTAAAGTTGACTGATCAAAAGCAGGAAAGATGAGCAATTTCAAATGACAATCCCCAGTCAGTTGGCCACGTACCTGTTAGCCTGGAGTTAGCGTAAGGAGGTGAGAGGCTGTCATGCGACGTGACGTACTGAGATCCTTCTGCATAGCTCTGCATAAAGACAGGAAAAAAAAAAAAAAAGAGAGAGAGATGAAGTAGAAACTAGTTTGACCGAGAACAAGTCGGCGAGATCAACGTTTCGTTATAGTGACGCCAAGTCTTTTGACTCATGGAAATTCCGATGACTGCACATATGATCGTGACATATTTGGGAGCGTGACTTTGGCGATTTTGGTCCATTAATTGGTGACAGGTGTGGATCAAATGATCTGTTGGATTTCATCCTACAGGTATTTGATGGATGGTCGGGTCAAGGGATCAGGGAGGCATCAGAAATGCTCCCACACCAAATGTATCCAACAATAGCCGCATGGCCCTTGCGAACGTGCACTGGGGCGCATCTGGCTGGAAAAGAAAATTGCCTACCTCAAAACCATTCCCACAAGGTTTGAAGCACGCAACGTCCAAGACCTCTTGTAAGTCAAGAGTTAAGATTCAGGAGAATGTTTGTGTGTGTGTGTGTGTGTGTGGGGGGGGTGTAATTATCGTGGCCGTTAAATCCAAGATGCTCCCTAATTACTTTCTAAAATCCATATTTTCCCTTATTTGATTTTAATTTGTGTTTGTTCTTTGGGGTAAAACAATTTTATGACACACAGCAAAAAAAGTGTAAAGTGCCGTCGTGACAACGGTGGAATCGATTTATCAGTAAGTGGAGTTTGGGCTTTTCTTTTACCTTCGAAGAGCGACTTCCACTCGCCCATGACCCCGCACTCGTTCTCTCCTCCATATCTGTGGCATAGCGAAAGAGAAAGAGTGAGTTGAACAGAAATCATAAACAGCCAATAATAAAATAGCCAACAAACAACGGAAAAAATGTGATTTAAATAAAAAAAAAAAAAAGAAATTGGGTAGCTGGGGATGGATTCGACTGGCTCATTGCGGTTCTGGATTTGAATCTCGAGTGTGCATGTTCCCCCCGTGCTTGCATCGGTTTTTAAATTTTAACTTACAAATTGAAATTACATATTGCTTAATTATTTATGATACAAGAAAATCCCGGGAGCATTCGGCTGTTATTGCTGTTTGACACCAAATCCGTACACGAATGCCCACTGAATCAATCTGCCACAATGAATTTGATCCAAAACGCTCAACAACATTGCGCGTGACACGCGTGTACATTCCGTGTACAGACTGAGAGTGTCATCAACGACATCAGAGTAAATCACCATCTCTCCTTTCTCCATGTCATTAAACATTATTGATTATGATTGCAGAGCCTTTAATGTCTCGATGAAATGTAATGGACCTTTAAGCCTCGCACAGACCACTAATCCCCGCCGCCATCGCACTGCATCGCAAAGGTCGGCCTGTCGCCTGAGAGGTCACAACTTGGATTCCCTGCCGCAAGCGGGAACGTACTTCCAGGCAAACAACCTTGGAAAAGCAAAATGTCCTTCTTCGCGAGAAACATTTCAGTTTAATTTCGCTCATTCGTTTGGGCAGACAGAAATGTTTTGGAATTTGAAAAACGTTTCGATGATTTTGGTGAATTTATTTGTGATGGAGGATTTTAGAGGCATTTCAATTGCTTATACCATGTTTGTTTTTTTTTTTTTAGAAGATTCAACAAAGATAGCAGCCACTTGCTAAGTTGCTAATGTTAGCGACAACTTCAATACAGTTCAGCAAGCAGTTAAGAGTTTGAGCAAAACATTTGAGAGGTCCAGAGTTGGGAGGGAGCGGACTGAGAAGCAGAAGTCCAGTTGAAGAGGTTGACAATTAGAGAGAGCTTCATTCAGCCGGGCAAATCGAGAGGAGGCGAAAGCAGATTGAAGCGGAAGGAGAAGTGCAAAAGAGCCGAGAAAAAGTGTGCAGAAGTTAAAAGACGTGGAGGAGGAGGCAGTCAAGAAGGAGACGTCCATGTGTCCCGCACCTGATAAGGCCTCCGATTGAGGGCTATAAATTACACTCGCGAGGGGTTTGGTGTGGGGGGGTGGTCAGTGGGATGGCACACAAATGGCAAAATACAAATGGAGATTTCCCCCAGACCCCACTCCCCACTCTTGCCATTGCGAACACACGCACGTGCGTGCGAACGCACACACATGCATACACACACACACACACACACACACACACACACACACATCCACACACAGTGGCGGTGATCTATCATCAGTTAATGAACTTAGACTGACAGACAGCTCCATGTCTCACACAATGATCATATTAAGACCTGCCTGACACAAAGCAGACCCCTATTAATGCTGTTAGCTCGTGTGTGTGAGCGCGCGTGCGCATTTGCATTTGCGTGTTTCGTGTGCTACTGCCGAGGAAACACAAGTACTATACTTTACTCCCAATCATTTCTGTCATTGTTGAAAACAACAAAGCTTCATGTAGGAATATATAAGAAGGACTTTGTGAGTGAGTCGTGGGTTGTCGGTGTTGGGCCTGGAGGGATGGTTAGCATTGGCACGATTTGAACTGAGATACAGTATGGGGGGGGGGGGGTCACATTCTCAGCTGAGCTAACATTCTATTCCACCCATAACCAAAGGGCAATATAAGTAGGCAGGGGAGACTCGGGGCGAAAATTGGGCCAATTATCCTGCCATGTGAACTAAGTTGAAGTAACTATTGACCAGGCCCATTCTCCAGCGCCCACACGGAGAGCACAAGGTGTCTTGAGGATTGTCACTCCATGACAATCCAGTTGGTGGCAGACTTTTTCATGTAAACAATCCTTCATGTCGATGGGCAATTTCAAGTCTTCGATGAATCTAACGCGCATGCTTTGGGAATGCGGATAGGAAGCCGGAGTGCGCCGAGTAAACCCGCGCAACCGCAGGGGAGGCCGTACCAACTCCACACAAGAGCCAGAGCCAAGATTCCAAAAGGTAGACGGGCTGAGAACGAGACCAACCTTGCAGCCCGCTGCCAAGCGTGCCCGCCAGTCACTATTTTACCACTCAATATTTCAGTATGGATCAATTTCATTGAGGATGAGTGCGACAGAAGCCTTTTGTTCTTTCCCCATTCACATCATTACCTTGCGTTCCCACATCCACTCGCACAAGCTCCGACGCACGAGGAGATGAGACAGTAAGAATTACGAGTCAGATTACGTCTTTGAATCTTCTTCTCGAAAGCCGCTTAAACTGTCTGACACCCACAATGCCACTTCTAAATGTGTGTGTGGGTGTGCAGGTGTGTATCGGAGTGACGTAATGCCCAGTTCGGAGTCTCATTCTTTGCCTTCTTATCTTTGCACACTCGAGCATGATCTGCTGGCTCGTTTTGTACAATTCGTTTGCGATCTCTTTTGTTTGCGTCGTCTTCCTGATGTATCCGTATTTGAGTTCGATTTTTCGATCAAGCAAAATAAGACTATGACAACCATTTCGTCTCCTGCACATACAGTACAAACGTGAGATGAAGTGTGTTTGAGAGACGATCGTTCATCATGTCACGCAAGAGAAAGAACCATTTTTTTGAGGAAGGAATCACATGACTGACCGACAGAAGTACGACAAGCGTAGGCTTGCTCAAAGACATTATTCCAAAGTAAATTGACTTCGGACTTATTTTCTCTCAACTGCATGTGTTGTTTATCTGCCCCTCAACACAGGCTACGGCTGCTCTTCTGCCACGACAAATAAATATACTCGTACGACCACTCGTGAGGACAACACCGCTTCTAATGATAGCGGCAACAATAACATCTGCGCATAAAAACGTATTTACGGGTCCAATAAAAAAAGAAACAAATCCCAGACAACATGGCCCGTGACTTGGCAACTCGGACATCATTTGGCGCTCAGTGAGAACTCATTGGGGAACCGTGCACCTTACCACGAGGGATCAGTGCTCTTCGGATCACAACGAATTATATCATCACCATATTGAGCGCTTTTATTTGGGGAACTAAGGAAAGGTACCTCAACGCGGTACCGTTTTGTCAACCGCTGCAAAAATGGACTCCTCTCAAATTGGACACCGAATGATCAAATCTAGCGTATCAAAGCGGAACCTGGAAGAATCTGCGTTTGCTTCATTCAGGACCACAAACAGGTTTTAAACAACAAACAAAATGGGCAGTTACAGAAGAATTCCGAGAGGAAGTTACGGTTCAAGAGGTTAATGCCCAAAAATGCATTAACGTTTCTGTGTGATGCACTTTTCAACGTGTTACTATGCCTATTCATTCTCTGCACAACCACACGCAAAGATACACATACAATCGGCACACAAACTGACATGCATATGCTCGTGCGCACGCACGCACGCACGCACACACACACACACACACACACACACACACACACACACACACACACACACACACACACACACACACACACACACACACAGGGGCCAGTGTTTCCTGTCATTAGGCAGCAGAGCTGTTCTATAATTAGAACATCTGGACTCAAGTAAGTTTAGTGCCAAAGGCCTCACACACACATACACACATACACGCACACACACACTCGCACATAAACACACGCGTGTCTCCGCGCAAGCACACGTGCACACAAAAACACACACACAGGCACACATATCACACATGTAAATTATCGCTTATTTTACTTTTTTTTTTTTTTTTACTTGTGCCATTTTATGTTGCTTGTTTTCTCGCTTTTTTGTTTCTGGGGGGAAAAAAAAAGCACATTAAAGTAGCAAAACAAACAACAGCTTGGAGAGCTAATGGCACACTAAATGAATAGAGTGAGGAGCCTGTGAAGTAAGAGAGGGAAAGAGAGAGTTGGGAGGGAGCGACAGGAAAAGTAGAGAAAAAAAAGAGATTAGCAAGTTCAAACATGGTTTTCTTGAATCAGCAGAGTTTTTTTTTAATACTCATAGCCTACAGATGCTTTTCCAAAAAGAGAGATTAATATTGATAATAGCAGGGTCCTTCCCTTTCTATATTTTCCCCCTCTCTGCAAGTGGAAGAAGAATAAGAAGCACGGCTGATTCCTTTGACAACCCCCCCCCCCCCCAACGCTCCCCCTCGTCTCTCCACACAGACCCATGTGAAGCCGAGCCAACTGTGGCTTAGATCTCTACACACCATTACCAGCGGAGGAACAAAAGGAAATTACAAAAAAAAAAAAAAAATTGTCGGCGACTAAAAAGCAGCAGAGTTTGCAAACTTTTAAAAGTAGTGAGAACAATGCACATAAAAGCAGCGAGCCAAAAGGACCGCCTGAGAGCAAGTTATATGCAGAACAATAACACGGTGCACGATAGCCAGTGAGAAAAGAGGAATCATTTGCATGGGTCTATGTTCACAAACAAAGACTCTACAAATGCTTGTATGCGCAAAATTTAAAGGTCGGACACAATCTTTTCTGGGCCGCTGGTCTCCCCTTCAGTTTATTCACATTTCCAAAAGGATTTCCGTATTTTCCGCACTATAAGGCGCTTCGGAGTATAAGGCGCACCTTCAATGAACGGCCTATTTTAAAACGGTTTTCATATATAGGGCGCACCGCATTATAAGACGCGGCGAATTGAAGCTACAATAGTGGCTGAGGTTGCGTTATGCATCCACTAGATGGAGCTACGCAAAAGGGAATATAACGCAATACAGCTTTATATATTTATATGGAGCTTTCACAACCACTGCAACAAAGCGCTTGACAGAACATTTAAAATACTACGTCCAAGAAATCAGAATATTGATCCATATATAAGGCGCATTGGATTATAAGGCGCACTGTCAGCTTTTGAGAACATTGAATGCTTTTAGGTGCGCCTTATCATGAGGAAAATACGGTATT